ATGCGAGCGCCTACAGTGTCGGAACGTGTATATTACATAAAATGCCAGATGGGACAATACAACCTATCGCACATGCTTCTCGAACCCAACGACCAGCGGAGAAAAACTATTCACAAATTGAGAAGGAAGCTCTAGCAATTATCTTCGCAGTAACAAGATTCCATAGATACGTCTATTGTAGACACTTTACTCTACAGACGGATCACAAACCGTTAATAAAAATTTTTGGCTCAAAAAAAGGTCTACCGGTGTACACGGCAAATAGTCTACTTAGATGGGGAACGATTCTTCTGAACTATGATTTCAGATTGGAATATTTAGCAACGAAAAGAATCGGGCACGCGGATGGTCTGTCGAGACTCATACCAACAAAGACAGAGCCATTGGAAGATACGGTAATCGAAGCCCTTAGAAATGAAGATGACATAAGAACAGTACTATGTTGTACAGTCAGAAACCTCCCAGTCACATAGCAAGACATAAAAAAATGAAGCCAAAAATGAATTTATTAATGAAACAAAAGCAAAAATAGCAGAAAAAAATGAGAAAATTTCGGACAGCTTTTCTCTATGCGATAATGTGCTACTTTACAACGAAATGGTTGTAATCCCCAAAACTTTATAAAAACGGATACTAAAGGATTTCCACAGAGGACACCCGGGTATAAATAGAATGAAGTCGCTAATGCGAAGCTATTTATATATATCTGAAATTATAGTCATTTATATTGAAAGAATTTGGACCAGGATATTTCTGAAATGGCGGAAATGTGCAAGTGTTGTAATTTAGCAGCTAAAGCACCGGCAATCATACATAAGACTTGGCCTGAAACTGATCGTCCATGGTAAAAAATACACGCAGATTATGCAGGACCTAATGAGGGGTTCTACTATTTAATCATAGTTGATAGCTACAGTAAATGGTCAGAGGTGTTTCGGTGCAAAAATCCTACTACAGAAACGACCATAAATTTCCTCCACGAGCTATTCGCTCGGTTTAGCGTAGTGGACTGTTTAGTAACAGATAACGGAACGCAATTCACGTCAGCAGATTTCCAAGAGTTTTACGAAATCTATCAAGTAAAACATATAAGATCCCCGCCTTACGATCCAAGATCAAATGGACAAGCGGAGAGATTCGTGGATACTCTCAAAAGAGCATTACGAAAAGCATACGATGTGCCTAAGGAGAAAGCGTTACAGCAATTCCTACAGGTATATAGAATAACGCCAAATAATGCGACACCATCAACATTATCACCAGCAGATGTCATGTTTGCTAGGAAAATCAGATCAGCGTCCGATAAATTAATACCAAGAAAAACAAAATAAGTAACACAGTCCTACAAACCAAAAAGAAAATTCCTCCCAGGGGAAAAAGTTATTTTAAGGCATACAAAAATAATACATCTTGCTGGGAACAAGGGATAAATGAGAAAAGAATTGGCAATGTGATGTATATAGTTCAAGGAAAAAATTTCTCAAACAGAAGACACGTAAACCAAATAAGGAAGAGACCGTTACAGGATGCTAACGGTCCACCTCAAGAAGAGGTATTGGACACGATTTTCGACACATTCGATATAACAAGACCGCAAATAATGCCAGAACCAAGAAAATCGTCTAGAAAAAGAAAGTTTACTGACGCTTTGGTAACAGGTCCAAAGAAAAAAAGATATTAAAAAAACCTCTACTACGCAAAATTTTAGGAATGGGGGTGTTTACGAGACCTTACCTATAATAACATAACATCTTTTTGGCCGAGCCCAGGGGCTCGGAGATCCCACATTAAACCGGCCTTGTGCCACATGATGTCTTCGCGGGGTGGGGTGAATAAATACCCTTCAGTCTGAAGTATGGAGTGAATATAAAAAATTTGTTCTGTATGTGGTATACGCATGTGTTTTTAACATATAGGTCCTAGATTAGATGATCGTTATATTTGTTTTTTTTATATGTTTATATTTAATGTGTAACCTGTAGTCATTATTAATTTTGTCAAATTTTCTTGATTACACAGCAGCCCTCGGTTTTAGCTCCGCCCACCCCATATCTCTACCCCACCCCTTTTTCTTTTCTTTTCCTCCCCCTCCCTCTTCTTCTGATCTTTAAGATTATATCGTCTATTGTGTGTGTATGTCACCACAAAATATATCTTTAATGTATTAGACATCCGAGAATATTCATATTTCTCTCACTTAAACCGTCTTTGACTCCGCTCTTTAAAACTTCTCTCTGTTAAATTTTAATCCCCTTTCATCTTTAGACCTTTCTGTTCTTCTATTATCCGTTACCACTCCCTATAGCTTTCATTTCCTCTAAAATTCGACCCACACTCTCATACATACACTCTCACTGGATTTTATTTTTTATTCCTGGAGTTGGTTTTTCGGTTTTCTTTTTGAATTTGTAGCTCTGATGAATAAATTATGACCATCGAATATTAGTGTTTAAGCAATTTTATTATTATATATATATATATATATATATATATATATATATATATATATATATATATATATATATATATATATATATATATTTATATATATATATATATATATATGTATATATATATTACTAGTATATGCCTATATCACTTATATACATATATATTACTAATAGATAAACATATATATATATATATATATATATATATATATATATATATATATATATATCTTACTATATATATATATATATACACATATACATATACAAGTCTCTTTAAGTAATATATATATATATATATATCATTCAGTAATACCTATACACTTATCTTTTAGTAATATTTTATATATATATATATATATATATATATATATATATATATATATATATATTAGTATATATATATATATATATTTTTAGTTATATATATATATATATATATATATATATATATATATATTTAGTAATATATATATATATATATATATATATTTTAGTAATATATATATATATATATATATTAGTATATATATATATATATATACACATATATATTTTAGTAATATATATATATATATATATATATTAGTAATATATATATATTAGTAATATATATATATATATATATTAGTAATATATATATATATATATATATTAGTAATATATATATATATATATAGTAATATATATATATATATATATATTTTAGTAAATATATGTATATATATTTTTATATATATATATATATATATATATATATATATATATATATATATATATATATATATATATATATACATATATATATGTATATATAAGAAAATGTGAAGGATTTTATTTACATTCTAAATATTGTATGTTGCTAAATACTTACTAAATCCTTTCCGAGAGCGACTTGAAATGCAAATGCGCACCCGTCAAACCTTTCGCAAATGTCAGAAGATCTATGTATCACTTTCTTCACATCGAAAGCACTTTTTTACTTAACAAATATTGTATTTGGTTCCAAATTTTTTTCCTGAGCGAAGATTTCTTAATTAGACATAGAAAATCAATGCCATTTTACCATATTGATTGTTCTATATAATAATAAATACATATGCTTCTATGAAAGAAAGGAAACGCTTTTAAAGAAAGAATTGAATGTTATATAAGGAAATTATGACTGAACAGATGGTGGAACAAATTTAAGAATAATAAACAAATGCAAATGTAGACAAATAGAAAGGGAAAAAACACCTTAATAAAGAGAGAAAGTGCTAAAGAAAGAAAGAAAGAACGAAGAAAAAGATAGAAAGAGAAAAGAAAGAAAGAAAGACAAAGAAATAAAGGACAAAGCAAGAAACATAAAAAGAAAGAATAGGGAAAGAATAACAGAGAAAAAAACGGGATAAAAGAAAAGAAATGTGTAAGAAAAACAATATAAAAGGAATAAAATTTAAAACAATACCAGATGCTTAAAATGAAATAGTTTCATAAAAGAAAAATACAAACAAATGAAATAAGGAATCTATAAAACAATGACGGAAATCCGAAATGAATAAAGAAATAAATAAAAAATGAATATTAAGGAAAAATGAAAATGGATGAAAAAGTAGAAAAAACTAAAAAGTATTAAAAATATAGAATTTGCGAAGGATGATTGAAAAGGAAAAAAAATACTTAACGCAAATAAGAATAAAAAAGAAAGAAAGAAGATTTCGATGTGGGAAATATTTTAGAAAGGAAAAGCAAAAATGATTTGAGAAAGAAAGAACGAAAGAAATGACGAAAAAAAACTAACAAAAATAACATATAAAATGCTAAGAAAGAAATAGATTTTGAGAAAATATGAGGAATTTTAAGCGTATAAAAGAAAATAGAATGAAAAATTGAAAGAAAAATGAGATCGAAAGAAAAAAAAAAGAAAAATGAATAAAAATGAGTTGAGAAAATAAATACAGAATGAAGACATTATGTCAAAAAGTAAAGAGAAAGTTTTCGAAAAAAACAAAAATAGAAATATTCAACCAACAAGAAAAGGTAAATAAGAATAAAAGAAAAAGTTTAGAAAGAAAAAGAAATATTAAGAATTCATAGATGGATAGAAAGAAATATGATAAAATAAAGACAGAAATGTAAAATAAAAACAGAAATTAAATAAATGTAAACAAAAGAAAGAAAGAAACAAAGAAAGAAAGTAAAAAAGAAATAACGAATTTTGCAAGAAATTAAAAATGAAAAATAAAAGAGAAAAATAGAAATATAAAGAGAAGAAATGAATTAAAAATAAAATGAAAAAAAACAATGTACAGGAAGTTGAAAAAGAAAGAAAGAAAGAACTAAAATTGCAAAAAATGAATAATGAAAAAAGAAAAGAAAGAAAATAGAAATATAAAGAAAAGAAATAAATTAAAAAGAAAATGAAAGAAAACAATGTACAGGAATTTGAAAAAGAAAGAAAGAAAGAAAGAAAGAAAGAAAGAAAGAAAGAAAGAAAGAAAGAAAATAGAAAAATAAAGAGAAGAAATAAATTAAAAATAAAATGAAAGAAAACAATGTACAGGAAGTTCAAAAAGAAATAATGAAAGAAAGAAAGAAAGAAAGAAAGAAAGAAAGAAAGAAATGAATAATGAAAAAATAAAAGAAAGAAAATAGAAAAATAAAGAGAAGAAATAAATTAAAAATAAAATGAAAGAAAACAATGTACAGGAAGTTCAAAAAGAAATAATGAAAGAAAGAAAGAACTAAAATTGCAAGAAATGAATAATGAAAAAAATAAAAGAAAGAAAATAAAAAAATAAAAAAGAAGAAAAAATAAAATGAAGGCAAACAATGTTGAGCAAGATAAGAAAGCAAGAAAGGAAAAATGAAAGAAGGAACTGGAGCTTGTAAGAAAAGAAAAAAAAAAGAGAAAGACGGATGGATAAAATAAGACAAGAAGTAAATAAAAAAGAAAAGAAAACCATAGAGAGAAAGTTGAAAAAGAAAGAAACAAGAATCAAACAAAAAAACCGACACGAAAAAGAAAAAAAAAGAAAGGAAATGAATATAACACTAGAAGAAAAAAAAAGAAATTAAATAAAAGATGAAAACAATGATATAAAAGAAAAAAGAAAAGTGATGAAAAGAAAGGAGCTAACTGTAAATGCTCTTTGTGTACGTATGCTATATAATCGGATTTTCAGCTTAGAAAGGTGCTGTATACTTGTTTACGTAACGCTTTCGAGGCCATTTGCTGCTCTTTCATATTGTTGAGATTTTATTCTTACTGGTTGCATGTAGCCTGTTTTCTCTTGTCAATTTCCTGCTGCTAACTTCACAATGCAACAGCAACAATCCGGATTTGAAATACGTAGAATGATGAGGTTTACTATTTGGGACACAGGATTTAAAATTCTTATGGAAGCTGTGATTTCAAGCCTGTAATGTTGGCATTACACACTGGAAATGCGAAATGTACAAACATTTATGGAAAGTGTTTTAAGAGAAGATGGAAAGTGCGACACTGAAATCAGAAGCTGCGTTGGATAGCGACAAAAAAAACTAAGCAAAATATTAAGAAAGAACATCTCATTATAAACAATAGAAATAGTACTGGAAAGTTACTTAATATGAGTCCTCCTATATGGCAGTGAATGCTGGACAATCTTCTCACAGATGACGAAGGAACTTGAAGCAATAGAAATATGGTCTACAGAAAGATGCTGACGATGCAGTATTTAAATATCTGGGAAGTTTTCTAACACAGGACGGAAAGTTCCACACGGAAATCCGATGACGCATTTGGAAACAAGGAAAAGAGTACTAAACTGCAACGTGATATCTGTCCTCCTATATGGTAGTGAATGCTCGACAATTTCTTTCATGGATGAAGAAGAGACTTGAAATCTGTTTCTACAGGAGGATAGTAGTAATACCATGGACCGAACATGTGAGCAACGATGAAGCTTTAGGGAAAATGGAAACAAAAAGACACTTATACCTGGATCAGAAAGAGGCATTTATAGCGCACATAATGAGAAAAGAGGGCTTGGTAAACCTGATACAACCAAGACAGATTAAAGGCAAGAGGGCCGTCCCGGGTATGACGATAAACTATATCCGCGTCCCGGGTAAGACGATAAACGACGTCCAGCAGCATATCCTCTGATCAGGAGGTTTTGAAGAGCGTGGAACCACCTCTTAATTGCTGGTATTCCCAGGTCAACCCTGATCCGGGGTGATAGTACCTGTTAGGGTCACAGCTATGGGCAAATAGTTAAACCTGAAACTGGAGTCAAAAGTCTATGAAAGTGTAAAAATAGGTTTTAATACCAGAAATACTTTAAAAATTTATTAGCAGCAAAAAATTTTTAAAAAAAAAACTATTGCCAGCAATACATGTTTTTGAAAAAAAATATTAACAACAATGTTTTTAAAAAATAAATATTACCAGCAAAAGATTCTTTAAGAAAAATATTACCAGGAATAGATGTTGGAAGGAAAAATATTACCAGAAATAGATTTTTGAGGGAAAAATTTTACCAGAAATAGATTTTGGAAGGGAAATATTACCAGAAATAGATTTTTGACAAAACAAAATATTAGCAGCAATAAAAATTTTGTCGGCATTAAATAACTCATTGAGGTTGATATGCTATAAAGCAAAACAAACAAAACAAATTCAAGATGGGCAGAGGAAAACAACGCATATCAAACATAGCAAGTTTGAGTCAATTGATGTTGGATCAAGGTTTAGGAAAACTCAGAAAATGTAAAATTTATTAAGAGCTACAGAGCCGAGGAAGTTGTGGAGTGCCATGATCACCAAAGTCAGAATATTAGCCTAATCACAGAGACAGTATGAGAATTCTGAATAATAGAAGAAAATAATTTATGGGAAAACGCGACCCACTGATCTGTCAGCAAGGTCAACTGATACTGCATCCGTTGTTGCTTGTTTGGAGGCATCTTAATAAATGTAGATTACAACAAAACTAAACTAGAAACATTTCATCACCACCGACCAAACCCCAAATCTGATGACCACACTCTCAAAGAGTCGCTTTCCTGGAATGCCAATTCTGTTGAAAGATCAATGTCCACCTCGAATGGAATGCGTGTATTAGAGCCATCGCAAAATAGGCAGGAAGAATGTTCTCTTCCTTGTACCGCTGCAGTGAATACCAAACTACTGCGGCAATGCTCGCTCTTTATACCAGTCGAATCAGGAAGACTAAGAATAGAGTATTGCTGTTATATCTGGGCTGGTGCTAACCAATTCTCACTGTTCCAGGCACGAATCCAAGAATGTAAACAGGGAACAGCACTTCCATCTGTAGTTGTTACATCTAGATTAAGGGAGATGTGTGCTTGCATTTCTTTTCATGTCACTTTTTTGCAAGCTTTTTTGTCTAGTTCTACGCTTGATATCCGTACTTTCTCAAATATTACAGATATCAGCATTGTATATTTCTACTACTAATATTACTAATGCAATAAAAAGCAAGTCAAATTAAGATGAAAGAAATACTAGACAGAAATGAATAATGTTTGGCAATGGTTCATCTAATGAAAATTTACTAAAATATTGTTACTGCTTATACTACTAATTTAATAATAACAGCTGAAATTGAACGAAATACTTGTCAGAAATGAATATGGGTTCATCTAATAAGAATTCAAGAGAATATTACTATTAATAATACTGCTAAAGTAATAAAAAGCAAATGAAATTAAGATTAAAGAAATACTAGTCAAAAATTAAAAAATGGTTGACAATGCTTCATCTAATAAATATCCAAGTGAAGATTACTACTACTAATACTAGTAATGTAATAAAAAACAATTGAATTTAGGATGAAGGAACTAATAGTCAGAAATGAATAATGGTTGCCAATGTTTCATCTAGTAAAAATTCACGATAATGTTACTACCAATAATACTACTGATGCCATAAAAACAAGTGAAATTTATAAAGAAATACAAGTCAAAATGAATAATGATTGGCAAGGCCTCACCTAATAAAACTTCAAGAGAATATTACTACTACTAATACTACTAAAGTAATAAAAAGCAAGTTAAAATGAAAGAAATACTAGTCAGAAATGAGTAATGGTTGACAATGTTTCGTCTAATAAAAATTGAAGTGAATATTATTACTACTAATATTAGTAATGTAATAAAAAACAAGGGAAATTACGTTGAAAGAAATACTAGTCAGAAAAGAATAATGGCTGACAATGTTTCATCTAATAAAAATTCAAGTGAATATTGTTACTACTGATACTAATAATGTAATAAAAACAAGTGAAATTACGTTGAAAGAAATACTAGTCAGAAATAAATAATAGCTGACAATGTTTAATCTAATAAAAATTTACGAGACTATTTCTACAAATAATACTGCTGATGCCATATAAAGCAAGTGGGATTCAGAAGAAAAAAATACTAGTCAAAATGAATAATGGTTGGCAATATTTCATCTCAATATTTCAAGAGAATATTACTACTACTAATACTACTATTGTAATAAAAAGCAAGTGGAATTAAGACGAAAGAAATAAACATTGACTTCAGACAAGAAAAAATCATGACAATATTACCGCTAGCAACGTTACTTATACAAGAAGCCAGTAAAATTAAGATGAAAGAAATTCTAGACAAACATGAATGATTGTTGACGATGCGTCAGCCTATAAAAGTTTAAGACAATATTACTACTACTATTATTACTAATATATGCCAAATTTTGTTCGGTCAATTGAACTTTTTCGTATCTTCTTGTGAAGAAGTTGTTCAATTGACTGAAGAATATGGTAATGTCTTTTCTTAATGTTATAGACAATATTAATAGGTGGCGGTTAATATGAAAAACAAATATTGCGGCTCCAACGGTTTTGGGTTGGTGGAAGTAAGGAATAAGTCCATCTGTTTGGATTTGATCTTCTGCCAACCATTAATTCTCGTAGATGAAGCAGAACAATAATAACTTGCGTGGCGAGGAGGGATGCTCAGAAGGACTAGTGTAAAGAGTTCGAATCATACAGATTCCCTTCCTTAATTCTGATTCTAAATGGGGATTTTCCAAGCGTAGCTTAGATATGGCACGAAAGCGAAATTATGGGATACCTAGTGAGGATTGAAGCCACAGCTCCGTCGTGATTAATCTATCGAGACAAGCTTGCAACCCATTACACCACTTTTAGGTGCCCAATGATTTTGTAAGCGTAGCTTAGATGTGGCACAAGGCCCAAAATGTGGAGCCCCTGTGAGCATCAAACTCTTCAGTCGCAATTGATCTAGCTATAGCAACTTGCTAACACTTACATAACGTTGAGGTACCCAGTTATTTTCTATTCGTAGATGTGGCATAAGGCCAAAAGAGTGAAGAACCAACTCACTATTTGGTCGTAAATGATCAAGCGAGACAACCTTGCTAACCATGACTTCATGTCGAGACGCAATGTATCCTGTAAATGATTGCAAGGAAAAGCAAGTAAAAATGAAAGAAATACCGTAATTCCCCATGTATAATACGCCTTCATCCCCAATATGTACCCCTAAAAAGCGTGGGAAAATACTTCCGCTCACGTATAATACACACCCCTTGTTTGGTAATCAAACCCTATAAATTGTACCTCTCCACTTTCATTACGACCAGCGTTTCCTACTCTTATTAAAAAAATGGTTTTAAACAGAATAATATTATTGTAATTTAGTTTTATGTTAATTATTTTATTTTATATTTGTAAGTATTGTTCGGTACATATAATTATATATGATATCATTACGGGGTCGCCATCGCCGAATTTTAATGACAAATGGTCGTACGATTGTGGTGAGTAGTCATTTCGCAACTGAAATCGACCGAGGAAACGGTAATTTTTTTAAAGATTTTTGGTAGCTGTACATAATACGTACCCCTAATTTTGCTTATTAACTTTGAGAAAAATATGCTTATTATACATAAAGAATTTTTTTTTTAAGCATTTCACCCCAAGCAAGGCGGGAAGCCACTAGGACGCAAGAGGCTACAGAAAGTTTAGAGCAAGATCAGATAGGAGTAATAGAAGAAAGGATGAGGGTAGTGGATAGATCAAGGCAACTGGAGATGTCGATTGACATTACACTTGAATAGCTGGAGATTATAGCTCACAGGGAAACAGGAATAGGGAAGGGAGTTCCACAGGCGAGAGGTCTGAGACATGAAGCTATTAGAGTAGAAGAGACGGCAACATTTAGGAGTTTCGACAGTGAAGGGGTGAGAGCGGGATGGCAGCCTCGTAAGGCGTTTGAA